AAAAAAAAAAAAAAATCAAAAAAAAAAAGGGTAACCGATAAAAAAAACAAAGCCAAAACAAAACAAAAAAAAACAAAAAAACAAACAAAACAAAACAAATACAAAAAAAGAAGGGAATAATGGGTGAGTGATTCTTAAAAATGCTACAATATGCAGATGGAAAGTAGTCTTGATTTAATTAAAAAGTTTACATGCCATCTTAAAACTAAAGGAGATAGATGAGCGGACCTTAAACTTTTATGGGGGGTGCACGTGCACCCTATGCTCCCCCTGGTTACGGCCCTGTTATTTGCAGCTTTTAACTGAACATGGTATTGACAATAAATGACAAAGAAACTTAAAACAGCAGGACACTTCTATYGCGGTAGAATGTTCGTAAAGTTTACAAATAGTCCCGACGGCTCAGTGCACTCTTAGACAAGGTTGACAAAATCCAAGAAAACATCTTAAGAAAACATAAGATTTTATCTGGCATTCATTTTGAGACCGACTTTTCTAAGATAAACAATAAAATACCATAGCAAACCCACCTCATGCGACGTTCTGTCGCAGTTATTTAATAATTTTGCAATACTTATCGCGAAGCACTATGACAAGATAAGTCAAAGTAAATTCCTTTTATAAAGTTAGTTTAATAATGGTTATCTTAAGTAAATAATAGAAAAGACGTTGCCTGATTATAAAAATAAAATAAAGGTATGCGTATAATTGACTTCCAAGACAAGGGATTAGTGGTTGGAAATTGATTAAAGTTTGTTGTAGAAAGTGACGAGGTGAATTTGGATGTCACGAATGCCTTCCCACAATGCTTAGTGTCTTATGAATAATTTTCATGATGTCTTCGGCTTTTTTTGCTTACATGTATGTACATTAAGCAGTGAAATGTGTGAGTAAAATGATCATGAAAAAGGATTTTTTAACCTTGGTGAAGTGACAATTTAAAGCGATTATTGAACATGTTAGGTCTGTTAATGTAAATATCGCTCCATCAACAAGTGTCCATCCATCCATTTGGGTCTCATTGAGCAGGCATTGCGCGCCATGGGCTACTGTCCAACATACATGAACTTAACTTATTTCTGTGGAGCCGACAAGGCCCGTTTCCCTTATAAGGAGGTCAATGGAAGCTAGTGACTACCCCCTTGCGAAGTCTGCTCATGTCAAGGCTCCCACAAGACCAGCATGTTCACTCGAGAAAATCATCAAAACATGTTTATCAAAAAAAATTATTCCATTTTATGAAGAACAGCAACAACGTCAACAACAAGAACATTATTATAAACAACAACGACAACAACAATTAAACAGAGACAAACGAAAATAATAAACTCTAATCCAAATTTTAATTCGATTAAGTAGAATAAGATAGATCCAAATACTATTTTTTAATTATTTTCATTGCATTTTAAATAAATGTACATGCTGATTCGGTTTTGCTGTTAAGAATCCTTTTTTATAATTGTTATGGAAGATTTAGCTAGCCATATATGATACCTATTTATCTTGTTACAGTAAAATTAAAATCTTATTATATTTATTTATTTATTTTAAGGAATGTATCAAGATGGAGGAAGGTTTTACCAAATCGATATGAAACTACCCAAAGATTATCATAAGAAGAAACGAGTGGCTCGAGCTGCCACAAGTGACGAATCCAGACTGTGGCCAAAAGGCATTGTACCTTACGTCATCGCTGATAGTATAAGTGAGTATTCCTTACTTGCAGCTGATTTAGTGTACTAAATAGAGGTTTTGCCCCATCACTTGCCCAAGGCCATAATACAGCTCGGGCTGCCTGTGGGTAGATGACAGAACAATAAAATCCCTTTGCTCTCGGGAACTGAATTCTTTCTCATGTAAAACGATTGTATTTTTTTGGTTTGGGCTCCCCTTCCCCCCCCCNCCCCCCTTCCCATCCCATTTTAGACCACGGGTCATTCTCTCGAGAATAAGATTCTTTGTTGATTCTTTTTTTGCCAGCAAAACGTCAAGAACACTTTAAAATACTCCAAGGAGCCATGGAAGAATGGCAAAAGAAGACATGTCTTAAGTTCAAAAAGAGAACAACAGAGAGACATTTTGTGGAATTTTATTACGGAGAAGGGTAAGTTGAACATGAGCTTCTGATTGACATTTGGAATCAAAATTAGGTTTGCGTGAAGAGGGAAACCAGTGAGCTCTACTCACATGCGATGCGTAGTTCAGGAATCAAACAGAAGAAAGGCTCTGTGGATACCATTAGCATGCACCCTTGATTCTCGAAGGTTCTAATTTACGCCTGCGAAACATGGTGATAGATGTTTTAATAGCCCACTTCCGAAATATGCTTCGCTTGTCATGCACAAAGGTTTCAATGTGAGGGTTCGTGCATAATGCTCAGATCGTGAAAGGAGAGTTTAAGAATAAATTTAATTTCGCACACAGCCTCGTACTAAAACCTTTGTGCGTGACAAGCGAAACATATCTCGGAAGTGGACTAGTTATAGATTTTTTCCAGAGTATGCAAGGTTTCGGGGTACCCTGTTATAGCATAGTCTAATTACTTCTTCTATGGCACGAAGTGAGGAGTTAAAGGAGGCTCGACAATATGGCTTCGAGGGGCATCGAGACCTCTAGTACTACCTGACCATGCCACAGCGAGCTAATCAATTATCTTTCACTCAATCAGGTGTAATTCAGATGTTGGTGTTATGGGCACCGGACGACAAACCACATCTCTAGGGAAAGGCTGCGAGGATCATGGTATCATGGTACACGAAATAGGCCATCTGATTGGTCTATATCACGAACAAAACAGACCTGATAGAGACAATTATGTGGAGATCCTTTTGGAAAACGTCTTTCCAAGTAAGTAAAGAACTGTTGAAACGTCAGTCACCATGAAAAACCATCTTTCTGAAAACTAGTCTCAAGGAGAACCGATGAACACAAGAAACAACGGGTTCAAACTCTTCACTTTATTCAATCCTATCTCAGCTTACCTGAATTAATTCATCACCGACAACAGTCTTTCTGAAAACTACCCTAACCCAGACTTCTCAACACTCCTCCTACGATCTTGGGTTCAAGCCGTTTACTTTATTCAGTCCTCTTTCTTACCTGATGTCATTACCAACAATAGTCTTTCTGAAGACCGACTCAGGCTTACCCCGACCATCACACTACATCAACTCTTCACCACTAAGAACATACTTTCTGAAGTCTATTCTCTCCAACATTCGCGGGTGCCTGTTACTAGAACGCAAGTATAATATACATCGCTTCCTCTTTAAACTTTGCATTAATCTTTATAATTTCGTTTCAATAATCTTTAAATTTTACATTAATCTATATTGAAAAATAAGCCACCCAATTTACGACCCCTGTATCGGCTCCTCCTTCCTTCCTTGTTTGGGATAATGTTTTCATTATGTATTACGTTTTTCCCCAGGATATCACTACGCGTTTGAGAAGAAAGATGAGAAAGAAACAGACGGCAGAGGTGTACCATACGACTTTTACTCCGTCATGCATTATGGATCGAAAGATTTCTCTAAAAACAAAAAGCCCACCATCGTGTCAAAAGCAGACGGCATCACAGAGTTTGGAAATACTAAAATCAGTAATCTTGATGCAAAGGTGGTCAATTTGATGTACAAATGTCCAGGTATGGAATCAAGGGATGCATGTAAAATTATGGCCAATGATGGGGAGTCAGGATGGTGTGGTGGCAAAACGCTCGCCTCTCACCTCTGAGGTCTGGGGTTACGAATCCCAGTCTTCCCATGTGTGCTGAGTTGGTTGGTTCTCTTTCTGACTCCGAGGGTTTTTCCGGCCCTCCGGTTTTTCCTCCCTCCTCTCAAATCAACTCTAACTAATCCAAACTGATTAGAGCTGTGCTCCGGGCTCATACATGGACTGTATAGCGGCTGTCAGAGGCGCCTTCACATGCTTTCAGTTCGACCCCGTTGAGCTGCGCCACTGCTGTACTTGCAGTGGTCATAAGCGATGACAAGTTGTTTTTTTTATTATGTTGGATGAGATAATCAAAAGATTCGTCGTAGTAGTTCCTTTGTTATGTCTTCCAACGTGCCGGCCATACTTATATGCCATATTTGCACTTTATATCATTTTTTCTCCTCTGATAGTGACTTGAGCTGCGCCACTGCTGTACTTGCAGTGGTCATAAGCGATGACAAGTTGTTTTTTTTATTATGTTGGATGAGATAATCAAAAGATTCGTCGTAGTAGTTCCTTTGTTATGTCTTCCAACGTGCCGGCCATACTTATATGCCATATTTGCACTTTATATCATTTTTTCTCCTCTGATAGTGACTTTTATGCCATATTTGCACTTTATATCATTTTTTCTCCTCTGATAGTGGCATTAATTGTTTAAAACTTAGGGTCTTGTCTCCGAGGTGTTTGGGTTGGCCCAACATACTAGGGAGGGGTCAATGTTTAATACGTATGTTATAGAACCCTTGCATCAACTCCCAGATCAGCTCAATGTGTAAAACAAAACAATTGATTTGAATTCTCTGAGAGTAAAATTCTATYATTTTATCCTCCAAATTGGCAACTAGAAATTGATGCAAAGGGTCTATCGCAGCATATCGCATGTTGCTCTTTTACTCCGACGAAGGACGAGCGTCCGAAACGTCAGTAAGTTTTTTCATCTTTTCACGGTGTATATTTTACCTTTTTATCATTATTACAGCATATTTCATTAATATCTGTAATTTGTATCCCTAGAACTTATTAAATTTCCCAGGGACTTTCAATGGAAACCTTATGGCATTAGTCGCCGCGACAAAGACTGTATTCAAATACAAGAGYCGGAAGACCCTTACAGCTGGTCGAACAACTATCTCTGCAGACAACCTGGAAAAAGGCATATTGGACTGGAGTGGTCTAATAGTGGGCCAATTGAGGGAATGAACTGCGTTAAAGCAGATGCTCCATCGATGGAAGGAAAATATGGCTGGGACAATAACTATTTTTGTTGGCCGAAAGAAAGTGTGTATAAGTTCACGTGGGAGAAAAAAATCCCAGATCGATCGGTCAAACATCATTGTTTGAAAATCTACGAACCACGTGATCGTTATTGGTCGAGAAGAAATTATTATCTCTGTGGAAATCAGGATGAATCTCCTGTAGGTATGTTGAAACGTGACATTAATGTGCACTTTCTCATTCATTTTCTCGAATTTGGACGGCGCGTTGAGTTTGCGCATTTGTTTAGATCTCTAGTACACCGTATTATTTAACTTGCCTCACCCTTAATGTACTACTTCGTTAATACGGCGGCCATCTTGGATCGCAAGGCATTATGGGGCGTCCAGGGGGCAAATAAAGCTTCTTTTACAGTAATGACGTCGATTGATATTAACAGCTCTTCATAAGAGAATACAACAAAAGAGGAATAAAGACGGCACAAGAAAGACAAACACATGAAACTTTATGTATTTTCATTCATCTTTGTTTTGTCTCCCCCCCCCCCCCCCCCCCACCCCCCCATGGCTGTCGTATCGTCGAAGTATTCCATTACTTTNCAAGATGGCTGTCGTATCGTCGAAGTATTCCATTACTTTAGTTCTATGTTTATTACAAAACCAACATGCATTAATTTTATTCTTCCAGATGGAGAGTGGAGTTTATGGTCGAAGTGGACCGAATGCACACGTAAATGTGGTGGTGGCTATCGCCGACGAGTACGAACGTGTAACAACCCTCCTCCCTCCTATGGTGGCAAGTATTGCATTGGAAAGACAGCAATGACTGGTCGCTGTGGAATGAAGAGCTGTGAAGGTATTTGTGTTTTTTTCCTTTTTAAAGTCAATTATAGAGGTTTTTCATCTGACGTCATGGCAGCCATGTTTGAGGGCAAAACAAAAGAAAGCTTCTCCTTTGAGAAATAAATGTTCTTGTCATGCAAAAAGATTGCATTATTCCTGTCCACAAACATGGCTGATGTGAAAAACCTCTATAGGATGCAGCCCTGTTGCGGATATATAATAATTAAGATAAATAAAATATAAATTGAGGATACCAGGATCACAATGAAGTGGTTAACACGAGGGTTCTCCTAGAAAAGAAATGCATAAGCCTATAACTTAATGACTTATAATAACTTATAGCATATAGATAACAGTTTGTTGTGAAATGTGATCGTCCGGGTGAGTGTAGTCTTTAAAAAAACTGTTGTTGGTGGTGACTGACGTTTCGATAACCTGTAGACAGATGAAATTAGATAACAGTATAGGTTTAACCAACGAGGGAGCATGTTCATATGCTTGTACGACTGAGCATACTGTATCCTCTGAACAGATGGATTCTCTAAACAAACAAGGCGTTCCTATCATCATTGATATTTATTTGAGAAAACTGTACTCTCCAAACAAAAGAGAAACATCTAAGGATGACTCGCTCTTGAAATGTGCAGCAGGTTTAATTGTCTGGAAATAAGTCTTTGCTTTTGAAATTAAACAAGCTTTGCATTGCAATCCTGCAGCACTCAGGAGCGTTTTTAAGGACACGATTTTAAAGATACTTTGATATAATTATTTTCTTCCCCTTGATTGGCCCTTTTGAATCTCACAAAGCATTTCGACCATTGACCGATGTCAAGTTTCAGCATATCATTTCATTCTCGAACTGAAATTAGTCATGTCATTTATATATGATCCATTTTTATTACAGAATGGCCTTTATTTCCCGACGATTTTGTGTACAAGATATTTCAACTGCCTCCAATTGACTTATCTTGTATACGTACTTATGAAAGATTTGACTACTTCCAATGGGCAAACCATTTGTTTTGCGTGAGAGATGACAAGAAAGACCCTCGATTTGAGTGGTCAGACAGTGGCCCTAAACCAGGCATGAAGTGCGTTCGTATCTTCAATCCCGTAGAGACTAAATTACGAAGAAACACTTGGAATAACAACTATCTTTGCTCACCTCAAGACACTCCTTATAAGTAAGTTCTTTTTAAATCGTCCACTTTCCAAAAAATTACATATAACCAATTTTTTTTTTTTTTTTGTCAATCCAAACGAAAATATCTCGAAGTGCGAAATGTTCCTCTAGATTTAACTATATTTTACTTTCCATTACTAAACATTCTTTACGAAGGAATCAAGTCCGAAACGTTAGTACAGTCCCACACATTATTACCCGGTGCTCAAGTTTCCTTCTTATCCACTTGTCGTATTCGAATCTCTCACTTAACACCAACTAGGGCCCACTATTCATTATCATTCATTAAACATTGTACCAGCAAAAGGCTTGTGGTAAAATTGACTACGTTTACTACATTTAATATAGTATTTTAGTTACTTCAGATTAGAAACTGATGATGCAATAATTATGGCCTTTTCTTTGCTTTCCTCAAAGCTTCCATTTCTCCCGACAAGGTGCCATCAAGGGCATGGCATGTCTTCGATGGTTTCCCAAGATGAATCGTGGATGGGATAACTCGTATCTCTGTTCTGATTTCACTGGAGGTACAGATAAAGAAGGTACGGTGTCACAAGGATTCTTACCTCTTTTCTCTCCCTCAAAGATGTAATTTGGCTTCAACTGAAATTAGGCTGAAACAACCTCTTGGCTGATCTAAGTCAGGACACGGCTAACTCACAGATCGAACCCTGAAACAACCTATTGGCTGATCTAAGTCAGGGCACAGCTAACTCACAGATAGAACTCTGAAACAACCTCTGGGATGATCAAAGTCATGGCACGGCTAACTCACAGCTAGATCCGGCCAATCCTAACGTAACCTTTTAGCTAACCGCTCAGATTGTGATTAACTCACAGATTGTTCTTCGAGAAACATGTGTCTGTTGCATTAATACTCTTTGAGCATTTGCTCTGCACTTTGCAATGCAACAATGCCTGTTGCAGCAGGTCAACCCCTTGAGTTTAATATTCACGTTCCTCTATTTGAAGCAATCAAAGAAGATAAGCCGACTCGTGGAGGGTGGTCAGACTGGGGCCCCTGGACACAGTGCTCCAAGTCATGTTCTGGTGGAGTCCAGAAACGTTTCCGAACTTGTACAAACCCCAAACCACAGAATGGAGGTGAACAATGCTCTGGAGCTGAAAAAGAGGAGAAAGTTTGTAATACTCAAGGATGTGCTATTGGTAAGAAATGTCTAAAACACTTTCTGCAAAGACTTTTGGGATTCCAGGAAGGGATGGAATTAGTTTTAAATCTGGACCTAGAGTTCCATGCGCGTCTTGTTCCCATTCATTTCTTATACTTTATTTATGAATATAGGAAAAACGGCAAAACACTTAAAAATATATGTAATTAACTTTTTTGGGGGGAGTATTTCGAAGGCTCCAATAAAATCCCAATAGCCAATGTGCACGAGCACGAATTTCTAGCACAAACCATGATGGGAAACTGAGTACTTACGGTTTTTCAGCTTCTCTAAAAATTCCTCTGACAATTTTTCCTTTGACACTAATAAAATGTCCAATATGTAACGTTAAAAAAAGATCTTACGTATCTTCATTAACGTAGATGGTCAGTGGACTGACTGGTATCCTTGGTCCAGGTGCACTAAATCCTGTGGGGGAGGAGAGCAGCAAAGACGTCGTTCCTGTACTAACCCTGTCCCTCAAAATGGCGGCAAGCAGTGCGAAGGGGTAGATATCATCCGAAGAAGATGCAACGAGCTGCCTTGTGCTATAGGTAAATTATATTAAATGTATTTGCATCGCCTCCTATTTCAATTCAATACCACAATGCACAGGGAATACCCTCGGTATTCTCTTTTGCCTTAGTTCGTTCAAAGTACGGGACCTATTGCCACAAACTGGTTGCATCGGTGCTAAATAATGGAAATGTTGAACGAAGGCTGGCGTTCCGCAGGGAATACCCCCGGGACCTTCTTTTGCCTCCGTTCGACCAAAGTGCGGGGCCTGTTGCTGTAAACTGTTAAAGCTATACATCTTCCTTACTTCGGTCCTACCATCTTGGTCCTCTCCTACTATGGAGCAAAAACTATCGTAGGGAATACTCTGGCATCCTCTCTTGTTCCCGTTAGTTCAAAGTGCGGGGCCTATATATTGCTGTGAACTGGTAAAGCTGCACCTCTTGAATTACTTCGGTCTTAGGTAAAATTTTAGTCCTGTCCTACTATGGAGCAAAAGCCGTCGTAGGGAATGCTCCGGCATCGTCTTTTGCCCCCTTGCTTAAAGTGCAGGAAATTATCGTTTGAATGCAGGGTCCTTACACGAGGTATTTGTTTTTAGATGGAGGTTGGTCACCATGGACTTGGTGGGGAAGATGTAGTAAGACATGTGGACAAGGTATTCAGCTACGCAGCCGTTCATGTACCAACCCCAGACCAAGAGATGGTGGCCGAATGTGCCCTGGGAAGCATGCAGAGATCAGAAAGTGTAATTCTAGACAATGTCCTATAGGTGAGATTTAATCACACATTCCAAATAGTCCCCTTCACAGTTCCCTGCGCCATCTTGAAAGGTAGCCGTGCCTTCGCTTCGAAACGAGACGAACAGTGAGCTTACAATGACAGAGACCTTTTTTAACACCTTGGACAATTGTTCACATGTCACAAGGGGACTATTACACAATGTTTACTCTCGTTGCATTTAAAACATAAATTAAAGAGTGATATGACACCATCACTTACCTAGGTTTGTTCTTACTTAGGCATAGTGACATTCCTTCAAATTTAATGGAACCTTGAAACGACTTCTAGGCTGATCTATGTCAGGTCACAAATAACTCACAGATTAAGCAGTAAAACAATCTCTGGGCTTAGCCGGGTACGGCTAATTCACAGATAGAACCCCGGAACAAACTCTGGGCTTATTAGGGCACGGCTAACCCACAGATCAAAGGTTTTGGGCGATCACTGCTATTTAACATGGCAGTCAGTACGTGATTATGCTAAGCCTCAATTGCCGGATTTAGAACCTAATACTGACTGATTTTCGCATTTTGGTTTCCCAGACGGAGCCTGGTCACAATGGTCAAGTTGGAGCGCCTGCAGTAAAACATGCAGCGGTGGTATTCAGATACGCAAGCGCACTTGTTCCAATCCTATTCCTCAGTTTGGAGGTCGAAGATGTTTAGGGGAAAGTAAAGAGGAACAAAGATGTAATACCACGCCCTGTCCTATAGGTACAGCACTTTTAAAATATTCACTTGCTTTCAGTTCGACCCCGTTGAGTTGCGCCCCTGCTGAACTTTGCAGTGATGATTAGCGATGGCAAGATTTTTTATATGTTATTATTAATATTATTATTATTWTTTTTTTATTGTATCAAAATATTGTTGGAATTAAATTTGTAACCAATATATAAGCCGTTAGCCTGCGTGCCTCCGAACGTTTACTCGTAAAGGACTTTACGACAGAAAATTCCGGATGCAGCGCAGGCTAATAAGCCGTCTGCCTTGGCTTTGTTTAGATGTAATATGTCTAGAATCGAACTCTTTAGTTGTGCGTAATGTTTTCGCTTCTCAAACCACGTGTATAGGCTAGGGATATAAGAATTCCCGTCCTAAACAAGTAGCCCAGACATTGAATGTATATAATATACCTATTTCAAAAAACGTTGTCGGTTGGCTGATATCTGAAATTAGGGTGATCTGAGCCTAAACGGAATTTTTGTACTTTTATGCTTTTTGGCTAAGATACAAAAAAAAAAAAAAATCACATTTCTAACTCGAAAGGCCATGCTTCGTATAGAGCATGTGCATGTTAAGTCATGGCCGCCATCTTGGTTAAGAATAACAAAGCATTCCTCATTAGCTTCTCTTGCTAGATCAATCCATATGGCGGTTGTTTCATTGTTATTCATATCTTAAGGGAGTTTGAGTTATATGGTTGCACACATTCTATTCCAATTTAAAAAAGAACTACATTGTTCAGCTGTGAATAAAATACATTTTGCAGTGTGCTAGTTGGTCTCAGATTTCAGATCTCCAACCGACAACGTTTTTTGAAATAGGTTCATATAACCATTTTGCACTTGAATAATGTGGGTTCTCTGTCACATGACGTTTTTTAGATGGTAATTGGGCAACATGGACGACTTGGAAAGCCTGCAGTAAAAGTTGTGGCGGTGGTATACAAAGTCGCATGCGCACTTGTAGCAAACCGATACCTCGGTATGGCGGAAAGCGATGCCTTGGTAAAGCCTACGAAGAACAGGGATGTCAAACTCAGCCTTGTCCTTTACGTAAGTATCTACTCTTGAAACTTGCATTTGTTGAAACTGCCGAGCTTTAAAGTGACTATAGAAAAAATAAGGGTTACTTCCTTTACCAAGACAGAGTACTTTTAGGAGATAATAGTCGTTGGTAATCACAGAATAGACCTAACTCGTCTTTATGCAATGTTTACCCATTTCAGACCGCGTGTAATTCTCTTGAGAATAAGATTCTTTGTTTGAGTTGTATCCATATTCATGTATCTTTTCGTGCGCAACTGTTAAACAAAGAAATGATACTCAAAGGCATGACACGTGGTGAAATGGGAAAACATTACACCAAGATCGTATAAATTCTTTGGTTAGCGTTTGGCTAGATATCTACTTACCCACTGGAAAGTAGACCATTTTAGCTTGGGCGAGAAAAGCTTTCCTGTTACATACCATATGATATTCCCTAGAGTATCATTTCTTTGTTTAACGCCTGTGCATGAAAAAATGTTTTCTTGAGAATGACAATAAGCCGTAAAAGGCTTAATAAAGATGAAATAAARGGGAATCTTTTTCTACAGCTCCAGTCGACGGTAACTGGGCTGTATGGTCACCATGGAAACCCTGTACCAAAACATGTGCTGGAGGAGTTCAACAACGAATAAGAACATGTACAAACCCGGTTCCACAACATGGCGGTAGGAGGTGTACGGGGAATAATTTCCAGGAACGTAGATGCAATACCGGTGCTTGCCCTAAACGTAAGTAGAAGTGATACGAATTACCAACYTTGATATAGACCCCTTGCAGCAATTTGGAGGATATAACAACAGGCTTCCAATTCTCTGAAGATTGAAATTCTTTTTGAGCTTCTTTGACGTCACATTCAAGGGGTCCTTAGAGGATAACACTTGACAAMTGATAAACTCGTGGATAAACACCGAGACGAATTAGGTCTACTAATTAATTGAATGTAAGATTACAGATRAAACGCGTAGAAAATTGAAAAAACCATGATGTTTCAGCTATAACTAGTGATAACCTTAATCAGAATGAAAATATTCTACAGTAAAAACCCTCTATACCGGACAGTGCTGGACCGATAAAAATTTCCGGTTTAGCGGGGGTTGCGGTATACTGAGGTTTTTGCAAATTACTTTTGTTTTCGATTAGAATAGGTGCGATATCACGCCTGTTGAAAATATGCTTGTGTCTAATCGTTTGGCGTCAATCTAAACAAACACGTAAACGAAAGTTCAATTAAAAATAWCAACAATAAGATCAAAAACTAAGCAAATTTCTTAACTTTTTTTTTCTAAWTACGATCTGAACAAAATCCCAGGTAAAATGGACTGGGAATGACCCCAAAGCCATGTGACATGAAAAAACATGGCGGCCGCAACTTCGCGAACCATTCGATCTTTAGTATTTCTCAACACTATTAAACCTTCCTCATGCATTCTGTTTGAACATTTATATATTGAAAACAATTAATTAGTCTTTATATGTCTATTTGTGAACAAGATTTACTATTTAAAGAAAATTTTCGATGATTTTATGAGTTTAGAAGTTGTCCCTGTAGACTCAATTTATACACCCGCAAATACCTAGTGACGGTAGTTCCGAAACAAAGGTACGTTCTTCCGGACTAGCGGGGTTGAATTCTATTGTCAAATAGCGTTTGGTACCGAAATTATCATCCGGTTTCCGGAATAGAGAGGTTCCGGTTTACTGAGGTTTATTTTACAAAAGATATATGAAAAACATTTCCGGACCAAAACTTTTGTCCGGTTTAGAGAGAATTCCGGTATACTGAGAGTCCGGTATAGAGGGGTTTCACTGTACGCGTTTTATCCGTAATCTTACATTTAATTAATTAACTAAATCATGCCTGAACGCGAAAGCCTCAAAAACGCTATAGGTCTACTAATGTTCAAAGTGCTTAAATTCTCATTGGGTTTTCTCGTCTGCAGTACCCATTGATGGTAACTGGTCTTTTTGGTCTCAATGNCTATAGGTCTACTAATGTTCAAAGTGCTTAAATTCTCATTGGGTTTTCTCGTCTGCAGTACCCATWGATGGTAACTGGTCTTTTTGGTCTCAATGGAGAGCCTGCAGTAAGTGGTGCGGCGGTGGCATCACACAACGCACGCGCAGTTGTACGAACCCAAGACCTGAAAATGGCGGTAGGAACTGTTATGGAGCCAGATACCAAACCAAAAAATGTAACACRAGACCTTGTAGAGTTGGTAAGAACAGTGTAGCGCAAAACCCTGTAAAGTTAAAATAGGCAAGAAACAATACGCTTGTACTTCATGTGAGATACATGCGCTTGTCTTGCTTTTCGATAATTCATAATCTCGTACACAGAGCCTTATTTCTTACTGCGCATGCTCGACGAAAATTATTGAGCTCTTGTGRCACCACGATGATGTATTAACAAAGAAAACATGAAAGTAAAAAAATTTCAGAAATGACTTTAAGTTTTGGTATTTTGTATAGGGCATTTGTCAGGCACACATCCCAAATCTGCATATTTTAAAATAGCACGAAGGCGTTTTAGAGTAATTTGCATACAGACTTAAGACCATGCGCAGAATTGTTTTCCGTGTCATTTTTCAATATTAATAATCCTCTTAAGAAAGTGAGATAGCAAGTCAATGGTTTTCGATCTGATGTTTTATTTTAAATAAGTAGTCCTTTTTCATTTTAACAGATGGCAAGTGGTCATTGTGGTCGAAATGGAAAGCCTGCAGTAAGCCTTG